GAAGGGTTGGCGATTTCTCTGTGGGAGAAAGGTGTGGCAGTCTGCTTCCGTAAAGATTACAGCCTTGGAAACCCTGTGGGGCAATTCTACTCTGTCCTATAGGGCCATTAAAAATTTAAAAAAAAAACAAAAACCCTTGCTGTCAAGTTGATTGTGACTCATAGCAACCCTACAGAACAGTGTATAACTGCCCCATAAAGTTTTCAAGGAGCAGCTGGTGGATTTGAACGGCCGGCCTTTTGGTAAGCAGCCTGAGCTCTTAACCACTGTGCCACCAGGGTTCCAATAAGGTAATCTGGAGTTGGAATCGACTAGACGGCAATGGGTTTGGATTCTTTGGTATCCATCTCCCAAACTGTAAAACAGGTGGAGTCTCATTGTCTGTGATAGGGTAGCTAGGTTAAGCCTGTCTGAAAATTGAAAGGTGTTACGGAAATGAAGCAAATACAGAAAGAAGTTGTACCAATTTGCCTCGTGGAGAGAAAAACCAGAAGCTAACAGAAATTGCTACATGGAGCGTTTTAATTCTCAAAAAGTCTTTTAAAATGCCCACTCTTGTGAGAACATCACCCAGCAGGACACTGATTCCTGTGTGTTATGCTTACATTTCGGAGCCCTGGGGGCACAGTGGTTAAAGCACTCAGTGGCTACCAGAAATGTCGGCGGTTCAAACTCACCAGCCACTCTGCGGGAGAAAGCTGTGGCCGTCTGCTTCCATAAAGATTGCAGCCTTGGAAACCCTATGAGGCAGTTCCGCTCTGCCCTATAGGGTCGCTATAAATTGGAATCAACTCGACGGCAATGGGTTTGGTTTGGTTTATATTTACATTTAAGCAGGTTTCTTTCTTTCTTCTCTCTTCTTCTTTTTTTTTTTTTAAATAAAAAATCCCCTAGTCTAGTAACAACCCTCAATTTTCGGACCAAAACTAATGTGACTTTTCCTTGGCTGAGGCTCAGACCTTTCAAATAAATGTTGGGAAGAGTCACTGTAACCATGCAGGTTATTGTGTATCTGAGAGGCAAATCTGTTGGGTCTTTCTGTTCTCTTAGTTTTAGGATTGCGACACAGAAGAAGGATTAGAACGTTTTGATCTGTGGAAGGGCTGTCATTAACCCAGAAAGTCACTTCTGGCCTCCGGAAGTTACTTGATTAGCTGTTGACAACTCAAAGAGGCTTGTTCATTCAAATGGACATCTGATGCCACATTAGAAGCACAGATTGGTTTGTGCTCTCAAAATTACTCCTCCCCAGGGACAAGAAAGCTCGTGATAGAGAACCCAAGGTTGAGAAGGGACAGTGTTGACATGTTGTGGGGTTGTTAACCATTGTCATAGGGCAATATGTGTACTAACTGTTTAATGAGAAACTATTTGTTCTGCAAACCTTCATCTAAGGTACAAAAGAAAACAAAAGCATTATCTATGTGAGATCAAATTGACAACAGCAACTCAAAAGTTTTGATGGGAAGCCTGGGGACAGTGAGTTGAAGAGAATGGTGATGGAATAATTTGGAAAAGGGTAGTGAGAATAGCAGCACAACTGGAGGAATGTAATCGATGTCACTGAATTGTACACGTAGACATTTCTCAGATGGTGTATCTTTGGCTGTGTATATTTTCACCAGAAAAAAAAAAAGGTCCTCCAAGGTCGAGAAGGGAGATGGTTGACATGTCGTGGGGTTGTTAACCAACGTTATAAAACAATATGTGTACTGACTGTTTAATGAGAGTCTATTTGTTCAGTAAACCTTCACCTAAAGTACAATAAAAAGAAACTACTCCTCCCCTTTCATTCTCTTACACTGATTTCCTCCTTTCTGTCTATGAGTCAGTGTGTCCAGATCTCCTCATCCTCCCATGACCCTACTTGCCCTCCTATCTCTCCATTTTTCATCACCAAACGTCTTCAAAGAGCAATATATGAGTAATAATAAAAATAAACAAAACTTTTAAAAAAACCCATTGCCGTCGAGTCGATTCTGACCCATAGCAACCCTAGAGGATAGAGTAGAACTGCCCCATAGAGTTTCCAAGGAGCGGTTGGTGGATTTGAACTGCCGACCTTTTGGTTAGCAGCCGTATCACTTAACCACTGTGCCTCCAGGGCTCCAATAATAAAAGTAAATAAATAAAAATAACAGCAAATAATTACATAGCATTTGCTATGCTCTAAATACTTTATATGTGTTCCATGAATTAACACATTTAATTTTTACAACAATATGAGGAAGATACGATTATTATCGTCATTACATAGAAAAGAAAATTGAAGCACAGAGAAGTTAAGTAACTTGCCTTGGGTCACACAGTTGCATTTCTGCCCTTGCTTTTTCTTTTCCCTCGTTTTTTAAATTAATGTAAAATTAACACAATAAAAATACCCTTCATTTTTAGGGGACAGTGCTGCAAGTTTTGACACATGAATACAGTCCTGTAACCACCCCCACAATCAAGATATAGGAAAAAAAAAAAGATACATAACAGTTCTACCGTTCCCAAAACTTCCCCATGCCCCTTTGTAGACAACCCCTCTTTCCCAGCTCCCATACATGTAACTTTATAAAAAAGCCAAACCAAACCTGCTGTCGTCGAGTCCATTCTGACTCATAGCGACCCTACAGGACAGAGTAGAACTGCCCTCTAGGGTTTCCAAGGAGCGCCTGGTGGATTCGAAACTTTTGGTTAGCAGCCGAGCTCTTAACCACTGCACCACCAGGGCTCCGTAACTTTATAAGATATTGCTAAAGTATTTTCCAAAGTGACTGTACCATTTTACATTCCTACTAGCAAGGTATGAGAGTTCCAGTTGTTCCACATTCCTGTCGGCACTTGGCGGTATTTTTAGATTTTAGCCATTTAGTAGGCATGTAGTCTATCTCATTGTGGTTTTAATTTGCATTTTCCAAATGACTAATGATGTTGAGCATTTTTTCATGAGCTAATTTGTCTTCCATCTATCTTTTTGTGGTGAGCTGTCTGTTCAGATCTTTTGTGCATTTTTTTATTGGACTGATTGTTTTCTTATTACTAAGCTCTGCAAATTCTTCATGCATGCTGGATACAAGTCTTCATCAGATAAATGATTCACAGATATTTGCTCCAAGGCTGTGGCTTGTGTTTTCATTCCCTTATCAGTGTCTTTTGAAGAGCAGTTCTTTTATGAAATCTGATTTATCAGTTTTCTTCTTTTATGTGTCATGGTTTGGGTGTCAAACCTAGGGAGTCTTTGCCTAATCCAAGGTCACAAATATTTCATCCTTTGTGTTATTCCAGAAGTTTTAGGTTTACTTTTAAGTCTGTGGTCCATTCTGAGTTAGTTTTGACTGTGTTGCAAGATCTGGGTGAAGGTTCTTTTTTTTTTTTTTTTTTGCATATGGATGTCCAACTCTTCTAGTTCTTAGAAAGTTAGACATAGACTTAACACATGGCCCAGCAATCTCACTCTGAGAATGAAACTACATGTCCACACAAAAATCTTCATGCAAATACAGTGGCTTTATTCATAATTACCTAAAACAGTAACTAGTGAATGGAGAAACAAGCTGTAGCCCATCAATATAATGAAATACTACTCAGCAACAAAAAGGAAGAAACTACGGGGACACACTAACTCGCACGCACAAATCTCAAATGCATGTATGCAAACTCAAAGAAACCATAGTCAAAAGGCTACACGCTCTATCATTCCACATATACATCATTCGGAAAAGGACAGAAAACAGGTCCGTGACTGCCAGGGGCTGGGGCTGGGGCTGAGGGAGGAGACTGACCACAGAAGGAGGGAGCTTTTAGGGGTGATGGAAGGGTCCTATATCTTGATTGTGGCAGTATTTACATGCCTGCATGCATTAGCCAAAGTTCACAGAAGACATTGCTGTAGAATTCTCTCCTTTCTCTCCCTCTTTATTGGGTCAGTCTCATCAGCGCACAGATATGCTGCCATTTTCTCATCTTAAAAAACAAACAAAAAAACCATTTAAGTTCTCCTCCAACTATTTCCCCTTTCTCTATTTCTGCTGCAGCAAAACCCCTCAAGGAGCTGCCTATACTCTCATCCCTCTCCCCACTTCTTGAACCCGTTTCATCCATGTTGCATTTCCCAAGGCACCAATGACTTCCAAGCAGCCAACCCAAAGGTCAACTCTGTATCCTCACTATACCTGGTCTATATTTGACACAGTTGCTCACTCCCTCCTTCTGGAAACATTTTCTTCCCCTGGCTTCCCAACACCACACTTTTCCGGTTTTGCTCCTACCTCATTGGCTGCTCTTTGGTCTACTGTGTTGGTTCATTCTCATCCCCTTACCATGGGGATTGACTCAGTTCTTGTGTCTCTTCTTTGTCTTCACTCACTCCCTCAATGCTCCATCCAATATCATGGCTTTTACTATAAGCACTCTCAAACGGATATTTTCAGCCCAGACTTCACCCCTGAATTCCACACTTGTATGTCCTCCAATTACCTATTCAACATCTTAACAGAGGTATCTAATAGGCTTCTCAATATGTCCCAAATGGAACCCCTGTTCTTCCCGACTTCACACTTGTTTCCTTTAGCCTTCTTCATCTCAGTTGCTGGCAGTTCCACCCTTCCTTGGCATCCTCTTTGATTCTTCTCCTTCATCACATTTTATATACAATCCATCAGGAAAACCAATTGGCACTACCTTTGGAATCTGACCACTTCTCGCCATCTCCTCTGCTCCACCCTGGTCTAAGCCACCATGTTCTGTCAATTGGATGAGTGTAAGGGCTTCCTAACTCATCTCCCTACTTCCACCTTTGCTTCCTACAATTTATTCTTGACCCAGCAGTCAAAGGGATCTTTTAAAAATGTGAATCAGTTCATATCAGTTACCTGCTCAAACCCCTCCAGTGGCTTCTCATCTTACCCAGACTAAAAGCCAAGTCACAACAAAGGCCTACAAGACCCTACGTGATCAGGCTCCTTGCTAGAACTCTGGCTTCATCTGCTACTCTCCTCCTTGCTCACTCTGCTTCAGACACTGGCATCCTTGTTATATACCAGCTATGTCAGGCATGCTCCTACCACAGGGCCTTTGCACGTACTGTTCTTTCTGCCTGAATATTCCCCCAGAAGGCCCTCCCAGCTTGTTCCCTCAGATCCTTCACGTCTACTTAAATGGCACCTCTTAGGGAGGCCTTCTTAACCACCTTATTTAAAGTTGCCACTCCCTGCCCAGTCACCTCCATGCTCCCTAAACCCTTTTCCTTGCTTTTATTTTTCTCCATAGCAATTATCACCATCTGAAGGACTGTATATTTGTATTCATTCATTTGTTTATTTCCCCACAATGTCAGGGCAGGAGTGTCGGTCTGTTTTATTTGCTGTTGTATACCTAGCACCTAGGACAACCTGGCATAATGTAGAACAACATTTCCTTACTTTCTTTTTTTTAATCACCTGTAGTGGATTAAATTGTGTCCCCAAAAAATGTGTGTCAACTTGGCTAGGCCATAATTCCCAGTATTATGTGATTGTCCACCATTTTGTCATCAGATATGATTCTGCTATGGGTTGTAAATCCTACCTCTATGAGGTTAATGAGGCATAATTAGAGGCAGTTATGTTAATAAGGCAGGACTCAATCTACAGGATTAGGTTGTATCTTGAGTCAATCTCTTTTGAGATGTAAAAGAGAAAATTGAGCAGAGAGACAAGGGTTCTTCATTACCCCCAAGCAAGAAGAGCCAGGAGCAGAGTGTATCCTTTGGACCCGGGTTTCCTGTGCTGAGAAGCTCCTAGACAAGGGGAAGATTGATGACAAGGACCTTCCCCCAGGGCCAACAGAGACAGAAAGCCTCCCCCTGGAGCTGGTGCCCTGAATTCAGACTTCTAGCCTCCTAGACTGTGAGAGAATAAATTTCTCTTTGTTGAAGACATCCATTTGTGGTATTGTTGTTACAGCAGCACTAGATAACTAAGACATCACTCCCTCCCTCAGGAGTCTTTTTAGATGTTTTTTCCTAATCATCTTCCCCCCTTAAAATCTTTTAACACAACAGATATATTGTATATTGGTTTTTATACTGTATTTGGAGCCCTGGTGGCACCATAGTTAAGAGCTACAGCTGTTAACCAAAAGGTCAGCAGTTCGAATCCACCAGCCGCTCCTTGGAAACTCTATGGGGCAGTTTTAGTCTGTCCTATAGTATGCTATGAGTCAGAATTGACTCGACAGCAACGGGTGTTTTGTTTTTTTGGTATTCATATCTGTGATTTATAAATAAAAAGAGTAAGATGTTTTTTGTCCCCCCCAGTGTTCACCTCCTTTGGGGATGTTATTGCTCCTGTTGAAAATGCATGCCGTAGATGTTCAATACACATATGTTGAACGAATGCATTCTGGTTGGAGCGGGATATAAGGATAGAATCTGATGTGGTCAGCGGTGGTGGAGTTTCTTGGCAGAAGTCAATGGTTTGGATTGAAGAGAGTTAATGCCATATTTGCGATGAGAGAAAGACAAAGAGGAACACGAGTAGACACTCCAGTTAACAATCCCAAGGTCAATGGAAAAAGCAGAGGGGGGCTGCAGTGTCAAGTGACAGGAGCTTCTGGTTGAGAACTAGAATTTGTCCAGTGGGTGAGGCAGTCACTGTTGACTTTGGTGTGAGCTATTTCTGGGGACAGTGGTAACAGAAGCTGAACTGAAAGAGTTTGGGCAGGGAATCGGGGCAATGGAGACAACATAGAGAAGTTACCAGTGTCCAGATAGGACTTCGTACTGTTGTTTTGGGTTTTATTTTCTTTTTTTTTTTAAGAACAGAATTGGGTTGGCATCTGCGACAGAATTTCAAATCGCTTTATTAAAAGGAAAATTTTAATCCAACATACTTGGGGGATTGTCGATATGTTACATGGAAACTGACTGCTATTTAATAACAGGATTAAAGTTTGGATTTTGAAAAAAAGAATTCATCTCAAACCTTCGTATGACAGAGCTCTTTTTTATTAGCAGGGCAGGAGGTTGGAAGAAGACTGACTTGCTCTTCACTGTGTTTCTATTAGTTTGTCTAATGATCCAACTGTCTAGGCAGGGATTTTTTATTTTTTAATGAGCAACATTATAACAATGAAACAAAATAAGATAAAAATTTCACACATAACCCTAGGAACATCAAAAGCAATATTTTCCTTTATTTTGTCCATCTTAATATTTATTTCCTATGTTACTACAGCAATAAGATGGTTTAAGATCACATTCTGTTCTTTTCACTCAGAGTATCAGCATTTGCCATGTCATACCTATCGTCTATAACCATCATTTTGATAACTACATGGATTTTTTTTCATCAGACTGATGCACTTTTCCCCAGTTCTTGTCTATTAGGCTGACTTTCAGTGTCTTAGTATTACAGCCAATGCTTCCATGAACACCTTCAAGCATGTGCCTTTTTTTTTTTTCCCCCTTCTTACAGAAATGAGTGATCAGGGGGAATAACCTTTTTATTTTTATTTATTT